CGTCTCCTGGGGGAGACGCGGGAGGAATCTAGGGGAGACGCTTAGGGTTCCGAGAATTCCCGACCGACCTGATTTCAAATTTCTGAAAGCTTACCAAGCTCATTGCTAATGTACCCAAGGCTTATAATCATTGTACAATTGAAGGATGAAGCCGTATGTACGGATAAAACGGCACTGTGGCATGTATCGGTCGAAACTCTGTATTCTCAGATATTCGATGACCCTCGGGGGAGACGCGAGCGCTCCCCAAGGGGCAGAAGGGAGACGTAGGAGGAAAAAGTTTGAGAATCGCTGCTCTAGAACGAAGTGACAGCGTGGAAGAGTCGCACCCTTCCCTACGCTTAGTGATGCCGACTCATATTAAACAAACTGTCACTCGCCAGCGATAGACGAGTGGGAAAAACGGGCTTCTTCACTCCTTCCAACTCCTCCAGCGACTCCTGGAGCGCAAATACCCCGCATAGATACCCCCGAGTCGTCGAAAACGAGTCGATGGCCTTAGCCTAATCGTCAAGGCGGGCGAATGCTCTCTAACATATGTATCAGCCAGAGGAACAAAGTGAGAAACCGCGGTTTTGGAGCGATATGAACGATGGGCGGCGATGTTTCGACACTGAATTGGTACAGATTCGCTTGAGATGATGTATAACGTTCGATGTTCTTGTATCTTGTTGTACTTCCGCCGAGCACGGCCTCGTCGGGAGCAGTCGCGGTCGGTTCCTGTGTGTTCAAATATTGCTCGCTTCCACACCGAAACCAGTTCTGCGCTGCTACTGAGACCGCTTAGCGCACTCATGACACCAATGGATGTTCGCCCAGAACAGCGATATCCATCCGTGTTACAGCAGGGGTCATCGAAGGCTCGGAGGCTCCTTCCGCATCTGGAAACCCCTCCAGACACCGTGTTATGTGTGAACTGGAGGTCAATGAATGGAAGAACATTCGGAAGAGAACAGGCATCAAGCCAGACAGAATATCATCCCTGTCAGACTGTCGGTAGAGACGCAGTCGCTTTCTTCTCGACTTTGGGAACAGTGTCGCGGAGCTCGATGAGTTCCCCCACCACCCGAGTCCGAAGTCATCGATGTGTAGGAGTCGATAGGCTCCCGATAGATCGTATCCCGTCTCCCGAGATTCGAGTGCGTCTAGAATTCGATGTCGACCAGTCAGTCGGCTCTGTTCCGCATTCCATGCCGCGTGAGACGGGTGACTCCCAACGCTGTCTGACAGATCCACCGAGCGCTCTCGAACGGGCCGGGTCAGTAGGTCCGACGGGTGGGAGTCCGGTTTCATGGGCGCGTGTTCAGAGAGAGAGGTATGTCTATTCGGTCGATGGAAATTGATGACGACTCGCCCAGTCCGCGAATGAGCAATCTTCTCAGCATCGAAAGGGCGTCAAAGGATCTTGATCACGAGACGAGGCAGCCCTTGTTCTCCCACAGGGAACTCCACAACCGTATCCAAAAGGCTCGGTTTTGATTCAAGGATCCTCCATACGAGACGCATCGAGAGAGAAACAATCTCAACCGTCAGGACGTAGCCTTGTGGCACCACAGAGCTGCTCAGGTCCAAACTTCGCAAACTGGAGAATGCTCGGGGCACCTTGAACACTTTACAATCTCAGCATTCACCGATCATCCCACATTCGGAGCCGAGTCGATCGTTCTGGTTCGAAACGCTCATTCAATTATCCGCCCCCGGAATGAATCTAAGCCACTCCCAGTACAGAGACGGCCCGTCACTATATCTGACGATGTCTCTCGCGCTGGACCGGAGCCGAATTCCTAGGGAATCAAAGCTGGGATTCCCGGCTACTACCGATGGGGTACCTCTCGCCGCAGGTAGATCTAGGCCGCGAAGGTAGCCAGGGAATCGAACCGCCCTTCGAAACAAAATATTTTCGACGTGCCGCATAACGCTTTATCGGCGCTGCGTACTCTCGTGGGTGAAGCGGCCTCCGTCAGAGTGAAATCCGTGGAATGAACGAACGTATTTCTGATATGGTGAAACCTTGCTTAAGGAACTCGATCCGTTTCACAGAGCCCTTCGCTACGCGGTGAGTTCGTTCCCCGGAATCATGATTTTTCGACTCGATGGTACGGTACCGCTGCTGTCTTTCGAGTGTAGAGTCCTTCAGTTTCGTCCTGGGCATCGAAAAACGGGGCCGGAGGCTCGCATCCCTGCTCCCGAAAGGAAATCGTTCCAGGAGAGAAGACGGAATACATTCATTTTCCAAGGCGATTTTTCCAAAGCGAAAGTTCTCCTTATCCGGAATATTGGTAAGCGAGGCGTTGGTTGACTGGGGTTTCACTGTACGAGTCAAGGGCGCTGCCACTCCGACTGACCGTCACCCACAGGGCAACTCTTGGCAGGTACTTCATCGATGGACCGAAAGTAGACTTCAAGCTTGCGTTGGGAGTTCCATTCTGGAGGGAGTTATATATACATGCTCAGTCCGGAATGTTCCCACCGCTTTCGGGGACTCCGGCGGATTTCAATGGACAATGAGACTACCAAGGCGGCATCCATTGCGTGTTACCTTTTATTGTCGTGTCGATGGTGTCGCTCCTTGGATCAGAGAACTCTGTGGAACACTCATCATCCTCCTCATCGGGATGAATTTCCAGCAATCCGAGCATAGTCTCCACGATCCTCCGTAATTTGTTATCACTACTGTCAGTCCGCGGTTTCTCTAGAAGTCCGACTAACTCACTTTCACCAACAGCCCGATACACGGGTTCACGACGCAGACACCTCATTTCACCCTGCGAAAACAACTACACACCCAACAAACGTTCACCGGATGATCCGAGGAGTTAGAGACCCCTCCGCAACGATACCACGGGGAGGAAATTCGCGAGTCCCACGCGAACTCAGCAATCCGGACCCTCCACCCAGAGGAATGCGCCTGTGACCGAATCTCCCGGTAGAACTGGATCGGGAACCACTCGTCCGCTAGCATTAAGCGCGAATCAGTCGGCTCGCGCTGTTTGGTTAGCGGTTGTTGCAATGGAGTCAACGCACCCTGACGTCACAAGAAGTGTTCATTTTCACTCGCCGTCCGCCTGCTTGCCCGCCGGAACACTCGTGGTCCACTTTGCCCCACTTTCAGCATCAATACAAAACGAAAGCCCTCGGTTCAACGAACCAATTGCAACGCCGCCGTGGATATTGACATAGCTCTTGAGCATATCTTGCCTCCACGCATGAGAGGGCTCCAGGTTCACCCATTGACTCCATCTGGCACCGTAACCCAATTTTCATTCGATGGAAACAATGCTAGTATGCCTGACTGGGTCGTTTTGCTCGAGCTTTACTCGAATGTGATAGCCTGGTCTACTTGGAGCTTCTTGCCCGAGGCAACTTCCTCGACAGCGTCGTAGTCGAAGTTGACCGTGTTACCATCGTCCCTGCAGGAAATGTGGGCCAACTCCTTGAAACGAGGGCAGGACAGGCTCGGTCTGGGAGCGCTCTCGAGCAGCAGACGTTCTGATAGTGCCGGCTCTCTGCAATAATTCGCGACATACAGTCTGCCGCATTTCCGGCTCCGTATTGATTGCTCCGATCCTCAGAACACCGTGGAAGAGCTCACGTGGGAACTTTGGTGGCACTATAGAGTATGATGAAAGTCGAAACGCCAGCTTTCGCAAGGGTCAACAAATGTTTTTGATCGAGTGGCAGCTGTGAGTCCGCCATGAATTTTCGAACGAAAATGATTTTCCGCTCAGAGACTGCTTTTCAACAGGAGAGAAGGAATCTAGGTGTTACGCAGAGAAGAACAACAACGATTGAGTATTCTTCCTCCTGAGGCCGGGAGTCGATGGATCTCCGCAGCGTCGTGGTTATCTTTGCCTACAGCCCCACCGACCTGTGCCGTGCTGGTTGACCGCTTTCCTGACTCAGTCGGTCAGTGATTTCTACAGTCTTTCGACGACGAGAGCGGCGGGAAGCGCTTCAGCCTGTCGAGCTGTCGCTGTCTCGGTCAAACAGCAGCTCTCTTTACGTTTCTGTATCTCTTGGCTGTTCAACGGGTTTCCCGGCGTCAGCGAACGAGTCATTTATCGCGCTCGGGGAGCGAATGCCGGCATTCCTTCAATTCGGAAATAACTGGGTCCTGTTCTGTGCGGGGATAGGTTATCGAAATAAATTAATGAATCACAAAATTACGCTGCTGCTCTTTCCTTCGCGACCTTTGGATGTGATTCCGATCGTGAATTCCGTCGATGAACGACGCATACGCTCGCCGAAAGTGACGGACATCTGCGTGCTTGCAGATGGCAACGGAGTCATCAATCGCCCTCGTAAGGTTCCCGGAAATGCATTACAGCGAAATTCTATCGGAATTCGGGAAACAGACATAGAGAAGTATCCTTCAAGAGAATAATCCCGCACACATGTCGATGGATTCGGGGCGAATTCAGTGGACGGAAATCAATCAATCACCAAATCACCGGAAGAGTCGAGGGAAAACTCGCTTCGAAGGCACGAAGACGACAGATGACGCAATACGATTCTCGCACAGTATGACTCTCCATCCGATCTTGCGCGGACACCCCATCTTCTCTCGCTCAGCTTTCTAATGAGCTCCAGGATGTGGCCATTTTTGTGGCCCCTAACATTTCATTCCTCGAAAATCGGAGGATTCGCGGGGATGCGACAGAAGTGGGATCTCTTGTTCCGCTTCCCCGGGCCGCGGAGCCGGGTTCACATCCCGCGTTGGACCGATCAGAGGGTTCCCTACGACGCCGACGTATCATCAGGATGCGTCACACGCGAAGGTGTACGATCTTCAATCGAGAGCAGCGGAGTGAAGCCTCGCAGTAGCGACTGTAGTTGGCGCGACTTCACTCAAGCTACGCGCCGCGGTGTTGACGACGCTAGTGACAACGCACTAAGGGATGTCCTGCGCAGCTCGAACCCTCTCATCTGCTTGAAGAGGCGCTCGCTGCCTTAGTTGAGGAGTTCTCATCCACGAGACAGTGCATTCGGGCCGACCGAAGATGCCGGACGCGAAGCGTTCGACAAGAGTGAGTGTAGCGGATCCGAGTTACCACAGGAAACTTCTTCAGAATCTCAACAAGAATCGCAAGGACCACCATCCCACGTGCGATGTCAGAATTTTCGACCGCGAAGATCATCTGTTCCTAGCTCATAAAGCGGTTCTGGCTGCCGCAAGCTCATATTTCGACGCCATGTTTTCATCCAATTTCGTGGAATCGACCGAAGCGAGGGTCGATCTACCCTTCAGCCACTCTGTGACGTCTGCTATATTGGAATTCATCTATTCGGGGAAACTCGAGGTGGACAACGAGTTCGCTCTGGAGCTTCTCAGTGCAGCCGACTTCCTTTTGATCGATTCTCTGAAAGGCCCGATAGTGAACTTCACTTGTGCAGATATCAGGAACGTTTTCAACGCGCAAAACATCGCCAGCGCGGGAATCGATGCGTCTTTCGCTGGTTTCAACGTGCTCAAGTATTTCATCGAGGATGAGGATACCATAGACGATCTGACTGAGCTTCTCGAGAGCGTCGAGGAGAGAGGTCTAGGTTTCGAAACCTTAGCCTTAGAAGAGATTTCGAATCCCCTTCTGGCCGACACCGATCAGGCTACAATGGTGAAAGCCACAACGATACGAGACAAATCTGACAGGTTGCCTACCGGTACGAATGTCTATCGGATTTTCTCCAACCGTCTCTACCGATTCGACGGTTTCGGATGGACACGGGTGATCTGTCCCGAATTCAACGAGCAGGCCCCGTCTCTGAGGGGATTTGCCGTATTGGACGAGAACGGTCAATTCCTGACACATAATCAGGACGAGTTGAGACTCTTCGAAATGCAAGAGCCATATCACGGATCTCGTTCTCCTGGCGACCGTTCCCTGAAACCGTTCGCGGAAGAAACCATTTCGACATCCTCTCAGCGGCTCTGTTTTTCGGAGAATACGATAATGGCTCTCTTCACGAAGCCGGGATCGACGTCAGAAGATATATACGTATGGAATCAGCTGTCGCAGTCTTTCCAGAGCCTTGGAGACATTTGGCCCCTGACTGTGACTTACCTGGACTACATTTTCGAGGACTCGCTTCAAGGACGAACGCGGCTCTTCGTAGTGGGCAACTTCAAAACCCTGAACGACGGGACTATCGCTAACTCCGTTTTCTCGTTCAACCTCTGTCCCATAAGCGGAGCTTTACTGACCTCAAGGTCCGTACCAGTGTTACCGTTCATCAACAACTCGTACATATACCACCATTTCGAGGGAAAGCTGATAGCGATTCCGAGGATAATCGGTCGGAACTTCTGCAAGGATTTCTATCGTTTCGACGAGAACACCTGCACCTGGCGGGTTTGGGAAGAAGCCAAGCTCAAGGTTGAGAACCGCACCATTCTCGATGTCGTATCAACAAAGGAATACCTCTACTTGGTGATGTCGAGTTTCGATCATCGCTGGCAGAACGAGTTCGTGCAGTGGAACGGGCACGAGTTCACAGATGTGACTTTTTCGACGAGCATTCCGATCGAGGGGAAACTGCTGGAGAGAATATCTTGGATCGACTACAACGTCGTAGACAAAGTTCTCAAAAAGGCTCGAAGACTGTGGCTCTGACTGAGAACAGGGCTCTAGGAATCTCGGAATCCTTGCCTCTGAATGCCCTCTCTGAGCTCGTCAAATATCAAGCTCTCTCACGGGCAAGTCGCCGATGCAATGTGTATATAGAATGTTTCTGTCTCTGTAAATACATAAATACTTGCGAGGATCTAGGAGCAATCCTTCCGGGATAACTTAGGGGTAGATCGCGCTCATTTCGCGCTCAATCGGTGGGATCTGCCGTGGCTTGACATTCCTGTATATTCCGTGACTCGTCACGTGGGATCGTGATATCGCTTATTTCACACCCGCTCCAGCCAGAATGTTTCTTGTTCAGTCTGCATGGAAATCGTCGGCGGCCCTCCCTCCAGATTCGAGGTAGTGTGACTTCGAATGTTTTCCGTCTTATCGAGACTCACCCGAAAGACTTACTTCGCCAGGGGCTTAGGGCACGTCTTCAACGCCCACGAGTCTCACCGGAGTTGAACCCGGCACGATTCCCCTCCCGAGGCTCCTCCCAACGTATGGATCCATGGTCTCCTCTGAGACGATGCCCCTAATATCATTGTAGAATTAGGAGTTAACCTGAGGTAAGCATCTCAAACATCGCGTATCCCTAGGTTCTGGGAACAACCTCGTGCTCGTCGGAGATAATCTTCAGAGCTCGTGGTGCAGGTCGACTCTTTCTCGTATCAGGTAGGTTTGTGTTCCTACGTAGAAGACAAGCATGACTCAGTTCCGACATCTCCGCTCAGGTACCGGGTGAGTTGGCTTGAAAACTCTACCGTAGGGAACAATGAAGAGCATCTCTTCGGAAGCTCAGCGCGAAAACAGCTCGCGAGGTATTCTCCGACCAGGACTGACGTAAGCAACGCGTAAGCAAGCGAGGCAGGCTTGCGTTGTTGTTGTTCGCGTATTCATTCATGAACAGAGCTCTGTGGGACGAGATAGCGGGGATAGTCACCCTTCGAAACCTTGAGCGTGTGTTTTCGTGCGGGCATCAGAGAACGGGGAAGTAGAACCCGTGACCTTCGCCGACTCCAGAATACTGCGGGAAAAGTCCTCCTCGGATGACATTTACAGAAACTTCCGATCGAACCGGAGCGAAAGCCTGCCGCAGCTTCCCGCCTCCGCTTCGGAAGCAGGCCGAAAGGTCGAAGCCCTTTCGCCCCTCGGTGCTCCGAGCGTTTCGTCCATATGTGTGTTTACATCGGAACGATGGCGTGTTCGTGTTAGCTTCTGCTTCTCGTTCCAAGGGGTGGTTGTACCGATCGAGTTTAGCATGGAATTGGCCAGAACGATTCTAGGAGTAGGTCTGCCCGATGGATATTCGAAAGGAGCTGTCGGTGAGTCATTCCGACACACCCAGCGCTCATTTCTGCTGTCAGAGCGACCCAGAGAACCGATACTCTCGCTTACAAGCTCCGATCATCCTTTCCTGAACAGCTGACGGCTGTGGAGCTGCACGCCTAGTCGAGGCGGTCCCATGGAGCAAGGCGAACAGCAAGATAGCCGTCGTAGTCGTAGTAGGCCGTCAGTAAAAGAGAACGTAGTCGCCGAGCTCTCCATCCGTTCCATGGAATGGAATTTCTTGAAGTGACCGCGAAAAAATCAATGTCCATTGAGGAATATGGGTAAAGTGATCGTACTTTCAGCGGACACGCTTTCTGAAGATGAAGATGAAAGTGAAGTCTCTGAGGCCGTCACGGTCAGAGCCAATCCGTCCGGTAGAGGGGGTAGCTACGCTCCAACACCGGGTGGGCCATTTTCAGCTCTGATTCCGTCGATGTGGCCTCAGGACCTACTGGCGACGCTCGCTCAGGTAAGTCTTTATCCTCGTTCGGATCTCCCACAGCCGCCTTCGACAAGTTTGATTATGTTTTCTGCTCTGGTTCGATAAATGAAGCTTTCTTCCACGGAGTCCACATAAACTCATCTCGGTTGTGACTCGTGACTTATTCTTGTGAATCGTCGGTCCGGCCCTTCCGTGAAATCAGCTGGCGACCGACCTAGAGCAAGGTGCTCTGATGTCCTTCAGCTTTTCTATTCTCCCTAGCCCGAAGACGCTGGATGTCACCACGATTGCCGATACGACGAGTTCGGTTTTCGGCTCGATGAGGAGGAAAACTCGATTAGGCATTCGTCGCCAGGGAAGCAGAACGCGACCTCCCAGAACACCCCCTTGGAATATCCTCACCATAGAGACGACTGGATCGCATACCTAGAGTTCGCGCATTCAGATAATACCGCGGCTGAACTGACATGGGATCAGGTGGATAGATATCTCGACAAAACGGATAAACTCAACTCGATGATCGCCGAGAAAGGTATTTACATCGCAAGAGACCGAATAGTTCAGCGGAATGGAAGGGATAATCGAAGTGACTGTAGCGAAAATCCGATACTTCTGTTCGCGTTCCTACGTATGTATGTTCGAGGAGCGAGTAAAACCTGCCTTGTATCGTTTTTCCGGGTCGAGGAAGTAAGGAACGCCCCTGAGAATATTTTCTGTCTCTCTCAGGAATTCCGCACTCATTAAGGCCACAGTTATGGATGCGTCTCTCGGGAGCGTACCGGAAAATGGATGCATCCGACCTGAATTATCACGACATAGTGAAAGCTTCTGCTGGCGATCATCAGATGACTTCGAAGCAGATCGAGAAGGACCTGCTTCGGACTCTACCGAACAACGTCTGCTTCGCCCGGAAAGATGCAACAGGTAAGCCCAAACATCTTGTCTCGGATAGTTCGATGTCGAGACCGAGTGAGACTCGATAGAGGAGTCGATCCCATTCGTTGGAGGATCGCGGTATCGGCACCTGCGGGCTGTGTGAATGTGAATCCCGAAGACTGCCCATTCAAAACGTCCAAGTCATATAGTTCCAAGTCTCCATATAAGCTCACAAAAAGACTTCTTTCTTCCCACGAAGGCATTCCACGTCTCCGACGCGTCCTACGCGGAATCGCGTGGTTGTATCCAGACATCGGATACTGCCAGGGGATGGGCATGGTGAGTATAGGTGCTCCGTCAGCGTTTGGGACGAGCTTTTCTGCTCTCCGTTTGTAGAACAACTCAGCTAGCTGTCTGAGTTCACACGCTCACACGCTCACACAGACATTACCACGAGCGAGGCCTTGTGTTTGGCCGTCGGATAGTCCTCCTTTCGCCTCGGAACAGCTTTGTCAACACTCAACGCCGAGAGCGTACCGAGTTTTGCAAGTTCTGTCGTCGATGTTCTCGAATACAGCTGTACAGTAACAGCTCAGCGGAACTCACAGAGTGAGGGGGCTCGGAGTCGATGGACCCCTCCGTTCTGGAAATACGAACCCGATGAAAAAAATTCCAGGTAGCTGGAACCCTGTTGCTATTCCTCGAAGAAGAAGAAGCTTTCTGGATCCTTTCCACCATCATCGAAGACCTGTTGCCGCCGTCGTACTTCGCCACAACGCTGCTTGGTGTACAGGCCGATCAAAGAGTGCTACGAACGTTGATAGGTGAGCCATCGGAGTATTTGCTCGCCTCCTGGACTGGATTGACTGGAAATAGATCGACAAGGCAGAGTCGACTTCATTCTTTCCGATGCTGGGGAGTTCGCCGAGAACGCGATTCTTGCTCGCCTATATACAGAGAAGTTACAGTCGGAATCAAGATGGCGGAGGGCGAATCCCGTCTTTTTTGCGAGTTGACATTTGATTCCACAGGAACACATCTCACACAGCTGCACCTGTTGCTACTGGACCACGACATTGAACTGAGTCTGATCACCCTGCAATGGTTCCTTACGGCTTTTGCCTCCGTCCTCAACACCAGATGCCTCCTGCGAATATGGGATCTATTTTTTTCCACGGGTCTCTCGTCCTCTTCCAGGTAAACAAGCTGATCGGGATTATCATGCTCAAAAAAGCCCCATTCCCTCAGGACCTGCTCATTCTTTGGGAATTCATAACGGGAACCTGCAGTCGCCTCCCTTGCTAATTGCCAGGATCATAACGAGAAACTTGAACGTTCAAGGTGTCGCTCTCGCTACTACGAAGTAAACAGTCCGAATTCGTGAAACTAGAGAATTCGGCGCAGATTTTCAACGCGCTCTCGGCGCTTCCCGGTGAAATCGAGCCAGCGAAACTCGAACAACTCATTCGCGAGAGTCAGAAATTCGAGCTTTACCAGGAAAACATCGACCATCTCCGCAGAAGACACCTCGCGTATCTCATGGCAGATCAGGGAACTCTGCTCAATCCAGAAAGTGTCCACAATTTACCGAAACAGGTTTGTTTCCTGAGGAATATTTGGCGACGCCTGAAAGGTTGTTTCGGTAATAAAATCTAACAAGAACCCCACCGGATCCGTACAATCCTGTGATTGATTCCACCCGACTCAGAACAATCTCACGAGAGCTCGTTTACCCTTCCGATTCCCCAGCATCTTACAAGACGCCGAGTCAAACGCAACAAGACCGTCATTCAGGTCATCCTTGGAGGCGACATGGCTGACGATCAGAAGGAAGAGAGCGTTCGAACGAAAAACATAAAACAGACGGAAATTCTCGTCGACCTTAGAGAAGCCATCCTCCAAGTAAGTCATCCCTGGACGTTCACCGGCTACTGACTAAAGCAGCCCTCCAGGCCGGCTTTTTATGGAGCTCCGTCGTGATCTCATGTGCACGACTTGCCGATCCTACTCGGCATATTCGATCGACCGAGCTCGTTCCAGAGGGAACGGATACGGCATTCGTTAGCCAGATCCTCATAGGTGAGATGTTTCACATCGTTGCAGATTGCTCGACACTTCACCTCGTTGGATCCGAAAATACAAATCAATTTAACTGCCGATTACTCGATGGAATCTCATTCGAAAGACCATCAAAACTTTGCCCTGAGCACATCCGCCAAACCGAAGCGCGCTAAAGCTCTCCTTGATTTCGAGAGAACCGATAACGATGAGCTCGGTTTCAAGAAGAACGATATAATTGTTGTTGTGAGTCAACGCGACGAGCACTGTTGGGTGAGTTCAAGAAGCAGTGAGATGCGCCTCAATCTCCGATTTTCCGCGAATGCGCTCATTGTCATACCGAGAGGCTGTCCAAGGTAGCCCTTAGCGAACTTAAAATGCGTTCCAGACGGGTGAGCTGAATGGATGTCGAGGTTGGTTTCCAGCCAAGTTCGTGAAGCTGCTCGACGAGCGCTCGAAGCCCTACTCGCTCGCGGGCGATGACACCGTCACGGAAGCGGTGACCGACCTGGCTCGAGGAGTGTGAGTGCTCAAATTGAAAAAATTCTGACACACACACTCAAACCATCCAGGGACATCCGGATATAATTGATTCGTTCTCGTGTGTAGCTTGTGTCCGGCCATGAAGGCTGTCCTAGAGTACGGACTCCGGAGACCATCGTTTGGCCAGCTGTCCATGCACCCCTGGCAATTCATCGAAGAGGTTGCGAGTCGACAAGTCGAGAAGGATCTGAATTCCGTTTACTCTCGACTCGTGCTGTGTAAGACATTCCGCCTAGATGAAGATGGAAAGGTCCTCAGTCCTGAAGAAGTTCTCTTTCGGGTAGGAATCGTCTACGTATTCTAACTACTTCCCTGAATAATCACGGTGGTAGGAGAATTTCCTGTGGAAAAACGGGCAAGGGACCTCTCATGGTAGACGACGAATTTTTCTTCCCAGTCCGTGCAAGCAGTGAACGTGACACACGATGCGGTCAACGCGGCGATGGACGTCAAGCTGCGTACGCTTGTCTGCATCGGTCTTAATGAGCAATTGCTCCACTTGTGGTTCGAGGTGCTCTGCTCCAGGATCGACGTCGTGCAAAAATGGTACCATCCGTGGTCTTTTGTGAATTCTCCTGGCTGGGTGCAAATCAAGTGCGAGCTAAGGTAATGTCGAATGAGTGAGCCATTGATAATTGCAAATGCTGCTTACTGCTACAAAAAGCGTGAGCCTAGACTGATCGAAGTCCCATGTCTTATTTCAGGCTCCTCAATCAATTTTCTTTCAATCTGAGTCCCGATTGGGAACTTCCGTCGAAAGTTGCTCCGTCTCAAGAACCTCTCAGAGAGGGCGTTCGTGATATGCTAGTAGAACATCATCTCTTCTCATGGGACCTCTGAGACGATCTCATGATCGAGCTGATTCATCTATCAATCCTGCGGATTGCTGTTCAATACATGTTCAACAAGTAGTGAACCAACTTTGTTTTAGTCGAAAACTCTGTCGACGAAAATTCGGAAAGTTACGTTCCCACTATTTGAGATGTTGCAACCCTCTCACCTCAGGAATTCGCAGAGAATTCCGTGTCCTGTGAGAAACTGTAAATCTTTGTTGATAAGCTATACACTTCGTCAGCGCAGAGAGATCTACTCTGCGGACTCCTGACGCTGGAGAGCCAGTGCTCTCGTCTCTGACTCATTTATGTCCACCGATTTGTTGACGATTGTTCTTGTGATGTCTGTTGAAATATTTTCCATTAAACAGCACCAGACTGCTCCATAGCGAAATATTCTTGGAACTTTCTTCCTGTTTGTCAGAATTCGATGAAATTCGGGCCTGCGATAGCTCCCCCGATGGTCAACATGCTGGAGAAATTTCATTGCGCTGGGTCGAAAGGAAGCGGAGATTAGGGCGGTTTAGTGCGTTTTCTTGGAAATTGAGGCTCTTTGACGCTGCTTTCTCCTTTGTCAGCGGTTTGGAGCGCTCTCGATCTGTTTGCATATTCGTATTCCTCATGGGGGAAGCATCGATTTTAATGATGGAAAAAGTACCGATTCGATGAAATTTTCGTGAAGTTATGATGGGTTCTTGAAATTGGGTTAATTTCGGGACGTCGATTTTAGAACTTATGGATTTGAGGGTCTGTTCCTCTCGGGCGTCGTAGCGCCTGCGGAGACATTCGGAATAACGTCTATCGCACGAGATTTGGCCTTTCCAAACTAGAGATATCGAGTTCGGCGATAAAGTTGCTGTTTTCGAACTCGAACGCTCGAAATCCAACGGTTTTCAATAAATCTGATGACGACGAAATCACTTGCTATCGACTATCGAGTCATCGAGTAGACCGCTCGTCACTCTGTTTTCCTTTGTGTCGTCGCACCCCGTCTCCCGGACCTAACATAAGCTTGAAGAGGTAGTCTAAATTCTAGCGGCGGCCAATGGGGGCCACGCAGCAAAATTGTCGGGGATCCACGGCGAGATTCCCGGAGAGACGGGATCAGAGTGAGCCTTTATGACGGGAAGCAGCATCGTTGGTCACCTAATCGTAAGCATTCGCTTGGTGACTCCACGCAGCACATTCCAAAGCGAGAACACGAAATCACGGCATGTTCATGCACATGGAGTGCTTAGTTATATCGCAGTCTCCGATGGGTCAGGCGAGTAACTCGGAAACCAACGGAGAGACAGCGGGAGAGACTGCTGGAACA